CCCCTAAATCAGGTGACGTGATGCCTTCATACAATAAAGAAAATCAGTAGGTTAAACCGATAAATCAAGAAAGAATGTAGTAAATAAACTTGACTTTACAGTACTTTCTCAATATAAACCAGAATTTATTATTATTATTATTATTTTATTAAATATGTGCAAATAAAATCAAGATCAAAGTTAAGACCCAAAAACTTTAGTAGGTTTAAATCAGACCTCTTAAAATATTTGTCTCGTCCAAATGTTGATATTGCAAATGAAATTTATCCAGAACAAAAATATTGAAGCACGATACCTTTCGTCAACACTTTGCCATGCTTATCTTTCCATTCAACATCGTTCTTCCATTCAAATTTGTCGTCATCCAATTCGTCCCTTCCATCATTTCTGACGTCACTTTCACTTGCCGTTTGCCGTTCAGAGTCGTCAGTATCTTGGCCACACATAGCTCCAGCATCCCCATCACAGTTTACGTCCCCATGTTTAGTGGCAGCCTCTTTAAATAACCAAGCTGCACGCATCTGTTTCTTAACCAAACGCTCTGCATAATCAGGAACCTTATTTTGCCGCAGATCCGCATCAGTTGACTGGGAACATTCTTTTATGAACAGTATAGCGTCTAGCAAACTCTCCTTAGCTAATCCGAGCATGTCATAGGCTTGTGCACGTCTCCAAAGGCTTTTCGCATGGCGATTAACAAGGTTTTGTATACAGAGTGCACGCGTAGCATCACTTATAGCATCCCAGGGCTTTTGCAGCAAAAGATGGCACTGAGCTCGATTACTATAAAGCACGACTCTTTCTTTCTTTGACCTCATTGGGCACAAAGCCAGTGCCTCTGAATACTTTGACACAGCACCAGAAATATCTCCTGAAGAGAACAAGGAATTTCCTTCGAGTTTGACCACTAAAGCAGCAGCCTGTTTGATATGAAGATCCTCCTTGGGCGTATTCTTTTCCCATTTAAATCTTTATCAAGAGGTTAGAAGTTCCTCGACCTCCTCTTTGGCACGGCTACTGATTGAGTTATGGCCAGTTCCTTGTGATTGAGTGCATTCATGAAGAACGTTAACAATTGAATCCCCAAGTTTCTTGTGATCCCCTAGCATAGAAATTTCTGCAAGGACGACTAGTGCAGGTATGGCCTGATCAATTAGCGTAAAATATCAGAATAGGTAGAGTTCGAAAATTAAAAAAACAGCTGAAGAAATTCTGGTCATCGGAAAATATTAGAGTTTACTTCTAAATATTATTAATATATTTACGAAATTCAAATTGCATTTACTAATGTAGCGTCAAAGTAACTGGTTGTAAATCAAAAGCAATTACCTTATGACAAGTAGTTTGGATCTTGGAGCAACCATAAAAGACAGTCGATGGCCATATATTGCCAGTCATCTGATGATTGTGCTATGTTACACAATGCCTCTATGATGCCAGGACAGCTAGTGATGGGTCCCCTATCGATCTTATAAGAACAAATTGGCTGTAACAGCCCAATACCAGCTGGCGAGTTTCCATTCACAAGTCCACCCCAAACACCTGGAAGTTTTACTAAAAAGTCAGGTTTGAAAATAGTGGGGTCAAAAATGAAATTTTTTTCGAACAACGTATCATTAACAAAAATAAATTCATAAGATTAATGGATTGGAGTGGATAATTAATTGGAATTTGGAACCTCAAACCCAAATAACCATTTCAGCAGCAGAAAATTTAAAAAAAAAAAAAAAAAAAACTGTGGGGTCATTTGACCCCACATGACCCCCTGTGGGTCTGCCTTTAGAAATTCAGGTTTGAAAAAAGCAATTTATGAGTTGAAGGGACCAGCACTGAAGCTGACTAGCCCATTCCTCCGCTTTCCATGACACCATTTCATCGCTACCCATTCCACGTGTAAGAAGATCACAATGATAACTCAGCCTCCGGTCGAAATATTGGTAAAAGTGCGTGTACAATTTCGAGTGAACTCGTTGACAGCTGCATTGAGAGCCCTAAAATCTCACCATAATTTGCTACAGCCGGAAAAGTGCTGGCATATGTAGCCAAGTGTCCTAATGCTTGTACAGCCACTCTCTGTTCAACCCAAGTTAACTTTCCTCTTAAAAGTTCGACCAAGGCTGGGATAACCCCGGCATTCATAGCAGTTTCTGCAAATTCTTCCATATTCACAGTATAAGATCCAATAAAATGTGCGCTATAGTAACGGATATATATATATATATATATATATATATATATATGGGGTCCCTGAAAAAGAGGTTATTTCAAGGATTTTAAGACTGTTGTAGGGGGGTTGTTAAAACAATTATGAAAAATCCTACTCAGTACTCTTCTTAATTGAGATTTCTTTTTCTTTTGGTAAATTTGAAAAGATCGAAGAAATACAGCAGCAAGTTAAACAAAGTACTACAAAGAAAAAGAAAATACAGATTAAAAAGAAAAATAAAGGTAAAAAGAAAATTGAACAAGAAAAAGATTTGGATAATTTTGAAGACAATAATTCAGAAGAAGACAATCCAGATGGATGTACTGACGGAGGAGATTCTTTAGACAGTATTGGCAGACACAATTATGCAACAAGATAAGAAATTACTCAGACATTTGGAAAAAAGACAAGAGTTTTTCAGATTTGACTCAATCAATCCAAGACTTTTGTGTCCCGAATTCAAGAAATCTCAAGAATTATTGTATGAAAAGTAGATTTTTACTGTTTTCTTTTTGAAAAATTTGTAAAGAATCTTACTGTTTTATAAAGTAAGATTTGATAGTATAGCTTTTTACTGTTTTCTTTTTGACGTTTTGAAAAAAGCAAAGATTCCTTGCTTTTGAAAAACGCTTCCTTTCTCTTTTTTCTCCTATAAAAGGAGATCATTCTTTCATTTGTAAACACACAAGAAAATCCTTGAAATAACCTCTTTTTCAGGGACCCCCCTCTTTTGGTATCAGAGCCTTTGTTCCGGTGCTGGTGATTTCAGTATATTGACTTAGACTTCAGAAAAGGTAAAATTTCTTTTAGAAATTTTTACTTGTTTTATGATTTTTAGAATATTACTTGTAGATTTAGAAAAAATATTCTATAGTTTTACATTTTATAAAGAAATAGAAGAGATTTTTGAATACGGTGTAGAATTAGTTTCTTTAGAAAAAGATAAATCTATAGATTATTTATTTGCTATATTACAAGTAACTAAAAATTTACATTTAGAATTAAAAGAACAGATTTTAAAGAACTTCTGTACTAGCTATCATACTTTTTTCCATATTTTGATTCTTTCATCATAAATAGTTAATAAAACTTTATTTCCTAAATTTTTTCTCATTAATCCTTTAATTCCTATTACTATTAATCCTAAGTGCATAAATCTAAAATTCTTTTTTCTTAATTCTTTTTTAGATTCTTCTGATATTAATGATAATTGTCTTACTTGACCATCTAAACATTGAATTGATACTTCTCTAGTATGTCTAAAAAATTGAGTTCTTGATTCAAAAATTCCTCTATTATAAAGATTTTCTGGATTAATTAATTGTAAACCATGAGTCTGAAATCTATTATAATCTTGTTCAGGATCTATAAGTTCTTCTATATTCTGATTTATATATATATATATATATATAGTTATCAGTGAAATGCAAGTATGAAGGCTGCCATCTTTCCTACATAGATCAATTTCAACAACACATGCTCTTTTTCTCTACCATGCATCGGGCCTCATTCTAATTCATTAACTGTTTTACCAGCCGACCTACTACATCTGTGGAAATAGTTATACTATGAAATCACATTGACGCAGCACAATTGGCTAGATGATGCATTCGGGAATTCACAACTTCCACAAAATCTACTATCATTTCTCACTGTTCCCGCATACAAGTTATGATGATTTAGTTCCACGTACAACTAATTCGACAGAAGAACGTGGCAGAATAAAAAATTCCAAGAAATTCAAGCTACCAAAATGATACAGCAAAAGAATTAACGAAACTTGAACAAGCTTTGAAGTGAAGCAGTTCTTTAACAAGTTTTTCAGCAAGTTTAACTCCTTTTATCATCTCAATTACAAGTAACAAGAACCTAAATCTAAATAGCTGGTTATATAAACCAATTATCTAACATGAAGTCGAATGTATTCAAATTCTGAAGAACCATTTATCATCTACAAAAGAACAAAGCACACCCATAAAAAATGGTTAAAAATAAGAGCTGAAATTAAATTATAAAATATTCAAACCATATAGCAAGAATCGAAACTCAAAAACACTGAAAACAAACAAACATCAACAACAATAAACAGAAGAACTCACTTTGATTTTCAGAACAGAAACAACATAAAATTCAAAACTTCGAACAAAGGTTTTATATATTACACATACCTCAAAATTAGCTAAATTCTGAGTTTGGAAAAAGAAAACAGTGGACATTCTTTCTTTTCGAGCAATTGGCTTCAAGATTCCAGAATTTTAAGAGCTTATTTCTGGTAAAAAAGAAAAGAATAGAAAAGAAAGTGAGAGGGACAGTTAAAAAAGGGCCCTTTTTGGAGAATTTTTTTTTTCTTTTTTGACAAGAAAGAATATCTTGTCATCAATTTCCTTTTTTTTTTTTTTTTTTTTTTTTTATTTTTATAATTTTCTTTTTTTTTTTTTTTCTTATTTTATACAAGTATTATAATGAACGGTACCATGATTCAATTGTCGGGGCCTCAAGATTTAAACCCAAATATATATATATATATATATATATATAATGTTTTTAAGAAATGAAAAGTCTCATGTAAAGTTAAATGTTCAAATTATAAACATAGCTTCCGTTTTTATTCAATTTTATTAAATGAAGTTAAATGTTGATATTAATTTTAATTATATATTCATAACTATTATAGATGCTTGATGAAAACTTGTATGAATATCTCCAAGACCTCCAAAATGCATCTTGTGCATGCAAAGAGACCAAAGTGGCAACAACTTAACAAACAAATGGGCAAACTTAAGATCATCAAGGCACACGAACGAACCAATAAGCAACAACTTAGCACACAAATGCACCAAATTATGAACATCAACTCTTGTGAAGGAGCAACGTGTAGCACATGAATGCACACTAAGGGATCAATATGCAAGAAGTTAAACGTACAAATGCACCAAATTTGAACATCAACTCTTACAAAGGAACCAAATCGAGGTGGCAACTTAGAACATGGATGCACCAACATAGGAGCTCAGGCACATCAAGGCATATGAAGACACCAAAACATGCACATGATTTTTCCAAGTATATTAATGCAACGAGTTAAGCATAACACACCAAGGATAGTTACATCTTCGGTGCAACATGTTGTATCACTTGGGTTTCATTTTCTTTTAACACTCTGAAATATATTGGGAAATTATTTTAAGGGTCATCGACTTTTTTCGTTTTTCTTTGGAGTGTTTTCTGTAACGCCCCAAAAATTTTATAGAATAAAATTTATTTATTCTATATGCCGTATATTTATATTTAGAAAAGTTTGGAACTAAAATGAAAATATGTTTTAAACTCCTATTTTATTTAGGTCAAATAATTAGATATTGATAGAGCGAGATTTAATATATCAATATTGGATTCTTTTTGTAGGCCGTAATTAATTAGAAGTTTTTGACTCAAGAAAAATTTAAGCTGAATAAGTTAGACCCAAGATATTGTAGTTCTAATTGTTATTGATTAAGTTGGTAAGGTTTTCATGTTATGGCTGCCAAGTAGGGTTAAATTTCACGTGAAACTATATTTGAATACAATCCAAATTCATAGTTGTTACTGAATTTACTTTTAGTAAGATAAGCATTAATTATATATTTTAGACCAATTCAAGTACATGTGTTATAGTATGATTTGTATTATCAAAATTCAATTCCTATCCAAGTTCGATACACGTTTTCTTCCATAACAATTGCACTATGACTCAACCATTATTTTTTCTATAAATAGTGTGCAATTGTACCATAATTCTAGACCAAAAAATTTTACATGACAGATAGTGGAGAGAGAAAATAATTTCGAAAAGCCAGTCACGATTTTATTGACGTAGTTGAGAAAGTAGAAAAGATATTGAAATTCTTTCAAAAAAAATTTCATTTTATTTAACGGGATAAGATACTTTCGTACAAGTGGTTTGTTTTCTTATTCTTTATATATTCAATTAGATATGTGTGAATTGCCAATGTACCTTCAAGTTCGTTAATAAGAAATATGAAATCTTTCGAGAATTTAAGACCTAACATGGGTGTGTCATTTGGTCATCGATATTCTTCATAAGAGAAGAGTTGTATGAAGTGTTTATTTATTTGTTTTATATAATTGTGCATGGAAGCTGCACGTCTTACAATAATTTTACCGATTAGCGCGGGTTGACTTGAACTGTTACGGGATAGTGACACGGACTGCCAATAGGATTCGAAAATGAAAAACAAGGTGTGTTTGATTACATTTATTTTTCATGAAAAATATCAATTTTCCATTCAAATTCTTACTTGGAGTGTTTGATTGCTATTTTTTTCCATGAAAAACATTTTCCAACTTTTGAAAATATACATAATTTTCCTTGTTTTTAAGGAAAATATTTTCCTTGGGTAGAGGTGGTTTTTATTTTCCACAAAAGATGAAAAATAAAAACCACCTCTACCCAAGGAAAATATTTTCCTTGGGTAGAGGTGGTTTTTATTTTCCACAAAAGATGAAAAATATTTTCTTTTCTAGGTAATATTTTCCATGCCAATCAAACACACTCTAAGTTTTTTTTGCCTTTAAAATCATTAGTTAAATATGTTCAAAGACATGTTATTTAATTAGTTAGTTCAAATTTTTTTTTAATTTTTTTTTAAGATACGATTTCTATGTTTAGTTTAAATTTATATATATGTCAACAGTTTATTTTTAAAGAAATTTATTTTATCGTTCCGCATTTAATATAAAGAAAAGTGAGTTTTTGGTAACACTTGAAAATTTGGGATGTTACATTTTCAGTGAGGTTCTATGAACACAAGTGGACTTTCAAAAGACATCAGATCAATATTGGAATGGAGCGTGTGGGGTCTGTCGTAGCCAAAAACAAATTCACGTATTGTTCTGGTGCTATGTGGCTAAGGCTATTTGGGAAGAGGTGGCTAGTGGAGACGTTTAAAGGCTTGCATTAGGATTGAGAATGAAAGGGATTTGCCTCTTGGCAGAGCCCGAGACCGCAAGGGAAAGGACTTGGGCCATTTCGGGTGTGTTATTGGGAGTATTTTGGTGTGAGAAATAGGGACTTCATGGGGCAATGTAACGTGTTCCGAGTTTTATTGCACATTCTGTTGGGGAAATTTGGGAGGTTATTGATAGAATATGAAGTATATGATTACACAAATAATAAGCAAGATTAAAAATAAAGAAAGAAATTGGTAGAGGAGCAGAATATTTTATTGGCAATAGGAGAAAGTATTACTACTTTAGCAATAATGCTTCCATTAAACTAAATAGAAGACCCACATATTTATAGAAGTATAACAAATCCTACAAATGTCATAAAGATGGAAATAATATAAAAAATAATGTGTAATAAAGGAAATAATATTTTTTCAATAAAATCACATGAAACAAAGAAAACAATAATTTCCAATAAAATCATGTGAAAATAAGGAAATAATATTTTCCAAAAAAATCCAATCTAATTTGGATCACAAAATCTAACAATCTTCACCTTGACCTAAATTTCAGTACAATGAACGAAGTTACAAAATTTCTTTCACCTGAAAAAATAAGTCCGACTAAACGAAATAAACTAATATCTTTATTCAAAACGATAACCTTCCACTTCACGAAAACATTTTATATCTTCCATAGTATCCACAATGATACATGAACACAACTCTGGGTTCCTAAAATTCCACAAGGAATTCAAAGTTTACCAAACAAGGTCGAAACATACCCCGTAGTAGAATCCACACCGAGTGCTTTGACTGAAGGCCCCTTGCTAAACTTGACACATTCAAACTCTTGAAAAGCATGAACACCAACATCTGCATTCTGCAACACTGTACCTATTCTCTATGAATCCTTCTCTAGCAAATGAACACAATGGAACTGCTAACGATGGTAGCAAACTTACACATATCACCCAAACTCTCCTAAGTAGAGTTCTTCAATGACTCAGAGCTAAATCCCAGAGGTACTGTATCAAACTGTATATTCATCACGGTACTGAATCTATCCAAATGTTTCTTCACCATTCTTAGCTCCCTTGAAAGATGTACAACTGAGATTTATTCCATCCCTTCGGTACAATTCAGACACTTTTTCAAACCTTCAAGACTCTATCTCCATCTCCACCTCCACCGGAGAACGTGTTGAAAGCCCAAGACTAGCCAAGCAAGAGGAGGGGGGGGGGGGAATGGAGGAGGGGGGGGGGGGGGGGGAATTGGTTATAGTAACTTTTTCAAAATAGTTTTAAATATACAATTAATTCTCACTTAAATGTAGCAATTAGTCAAATATGAAAAGGAACGAAGACTAAGATAAATTCACAAGTATTAAATAAAAGCAAGAATAAGTAAAAGGGAAGAGAAGTCAAACGATATGATATGGAGGTTCGATCCAATATAATGATCTACGTCCCCCATTACCGAGCTCTCCGTCACGAGCAAGGGCTTTTTCACTATATTGATTGACTTATGGTGCAATCCAACCTTCTTACAACTCTTTTGATGACTTATAAGTAAAGAGCACCGTTCTTTTACAATGTTGAAATTTCCGGCACTTCAACTCGACCCACAAGTTTGAAAAATGAGGAGTATACAAGTGAAGACTTCTCTTGCAATAAATGATATAATTGAAGTTGAATACAACAAGAGAAAATGGCTAACACTTTAGTAGATAGCAAAGATTGAAGCTCAACTGTTAGATAAGAAACACTTTGATAAAAATGATTTCCAAAAGTTGAATCAATCAAAAGTTTTTCTAATATAAATAAGTTGAAGCAATAGATATATATAAAGATGACAGATTAGTAATATCTCACTTTAAATGCTCATGAAAGTCTTACATTGAACGGAAAATGATCTGGTATTTATAGCAGCAAAACGGTCAAAAGTTTTGTTCTACCGGACTTTCACTAGCTTACCGGATAGTCAAATAACTGTTTTTTGTTTAGAAGTGAGAACGTTCAATTTCTTGACCGTTGGACAAACATGTCATACCGGACGTCAGCTAGAATTACCGGACTCGTCCGCTAGACCTACCGAATGCGTCCTTTAGATCAGCTCGTGTTTGAAAATTTTCCTTTTTTAAATAATATAACAATATGTAATTTCATGAAGGATGTTTCTAACATGTTTTACGGACTTTTTGACATTTTTTAAAGTATATAATAGGTTCATACTTATCTTTATGCAAAATCGTGTTTGTCGTGTAAAGAAACGTTTCTTGAGCTTCAAATGACGTATATGCCAAATACTAATGTGTTTTACCTTAACATTTAAAATCAAGCTGTCTAAATC